TTTTTTTCCCAGGTTGGTACAACTGTCCTTAATTATGATGCCAAGTTAGAGTGGAATCTGTCAACCAGTGTGTTTACAACAGCTGGTTAAGTCAGTCGATGTCAGTAGTGCGTGCCGATTTTTACAATGAGTGAAAATATTGAACAAAGAATTTGTCTCAAATTTTGTGCTGCGAAAGAAATTTCGTGTGCTGATACATTTAAGATGTTGCAGAAGGCTTATGGTGATTCAGCACTATCAAAAACCCGTGCATATGAGTGGTACAAAGCCTTCAAGGAGGGTCGAGAAGTCGTCGAAGACTTGCCTCGTTCTGGACGCCCGTCGACAAGTTTGACCGAAGATAACATCGAAAAAGTGAAGGAAATTGTACTCGAAAACCGTCATTCCAGCTTAAGAGAGATAGCACACGAACTTAACATGTCCCATGAGTCCGTTCGTTCGATTTTGGTCAATAATTTGGGCATGAGACGCGTCGTCGTAAGACTCATTCCAAAAGACCTGAATGCGCCATCTCATCGAGCTACGATTGTGACTGATTTTCTCGCTAAAAACTCAACAAATGTACTTGAACAACCACCGTATTCACCAAATTTGGCACCGTATCACTTCTTCCTCTTCCCAAAACTGAAATTGCCGCTCCGGGGTACCCGTTTTGAGTCGATTGAAGCCATCAAACAAAAATCGGCGCGTGAACTGAAGGCCATCCCGGAAAGCGCCTATAAGAAATGTTTCGAAGATTGGAAAAAACGATGGCATACGTGCGTTGCTTCAAATGGAGCCTTTGAAGGCGACCCAATAAATTTTGATGAATAAATGAAATATGTGTGTTTTATTTAACAATTCCCGGTACTTTCTTGACAGAATGTGTATATATATATATATATATATATATATATATATATATATTATATAATAATAATACACAGGAGACGCAACACAATGAGAGCATGACAGATGCGCACAATAAGGAGAAAGAGAGAGTGTAGCGTAACAGAGATGCGCGCGACAATAAATTAATGCTACATTCTACAGAGAGGTGCCGTCGACGTTTGCTCAAAAGCTCATTTCACTGAAAGCTGCTTTATGCATTTCAGGCGAAATTTAATCCATCTACGGATGGGCGTATGCGTGCCTGTTCATTTCGAAGCGGTATGTGCATCACGAATGAGCCATAGCGGCAGTTACAAACACAGCGTTTGCGTACGCATGCTCCATGCGCTCACACGATGTGCTACTATACACTTTCGAACTTCTGCTTTTGATCTCGTTTGTCCGAGTGCCGACATTAGGTCATGGTGCGGCAGGCTTACACCTGCGGGAAATTTTCGGGCCGCGTTTGAATCCTAAGGAATCTCGAACACGGCCGACGGAAGCGACGAACGCCATGCGTTTTCCATCCCAACTAACTCTCCATAGATGAAAGAGAGAGACAGAGACACAGAGAGTCCACGTTTCGCGCGGAAATATATAGGTATACGCGTAACCAACCATATAACAACTCCACGTAACATATCCGATGTACAAATACCTTTGTCTCGCAACAACCGCCAGTTCATTGTAATTGGCTAAAATTCGCGGAGCTGCCTCGCTCAGTGATTGTGCATCCGGTTTATCCGGAGCGTGATGCGTGGTTACACTTGCTACGTGAATTCCTAATTGAAAGCTCTTTGTGTGAGAGCATAAAGGCACTGAAGTGGCCCAGCAACTCTGAGATTTTTCTCATTAACGGATATCAAAATGTATACACGAATATTCGCGCGATAGGCGGAAACCTACGTCAGAAGGACGGATCAAATGGATCTTGAAAAAGTCAACGTGAACAAACACAATGAATCGCAACGAGTAACCACCTGTGAGATATTTTTCAATTCAAGCGTCCTCTCTTTCGCAAATGCGCAATACCATTTAATTAATTTAATTTGCGCGCTTTTGTTTTATTTCAATTAAATTTGTTTTATTTCTGGCAGCAGGCTGGCACGAGAGAGCCTGGGGGAGGAGAGAGAGAGAGAATTACCGGGAATACCGTGTCACCTTTGCGTTCTGGCTGAACTACACGTATTGCACACACGAAAAGAAGAGTTTGCTTGGATGAACCAATTGCTATGGAAATATGAACGAGCCAGAAAATCCCGGTCGATGTTACCAGAATTCTATTCAAGTTAACTAGATGTCTTGAACGGAATTCCGGTAACTTTAATCGAAATTTCTGTTTTCGTTCATATTTATATCAGAAATTTACTTAATCCAACCAATTTCTTTTTCCATGCAAGATTCAAGATATTACGCATGTCTGTCGCTCATGAATCCGCTTAGACCGCTTGGAAAATATCTCTTTCCTCACAGACTCAGCTAAAAATCGAGCAAAAAATCTCACGGCAGAAAGTCCGCATTTGCGATTTTGCGGCAGTAGACACGAATCACACAGCGCTACAACGTGAATTCCGAGACGGGTGAAGAGTATAACTAGTAGCCGCGCGCGAGATGACATCTCCTCCGTCGGCCGAGATTCTCGCGGACGTATCGCGGACGTTTAAGTGTATTTTCGCTAATTAATCTCGAGATTAATTCGCGTTCACCGGCGCGCCACACCGGCAATCCAATTTAAATCGTGCGCGTGTCGCGGCAGAAGACGGCGGGGGTGGAGAGAGACGTGAAGAAGGTCGGGTATAAATTGCGTGCAACAAGGCGAAATGGAAATTACATCGAGGAGAGTTCCTCGCGCGCGCGCGGAAGGAGAGCGAAGGGAGAAGGAGAGGAAGAGACATAAAGCCAGCGCACCTTGCAAAGGCACTAAAGCGAATTGGTGGGTTCCGGACGCGCTACTACGCGACGATGTTCGTCGAGTCGCGCGTCGCTCCCGGAGCCGGTCTTTAGGCCTGTTCTACAATACGTCGTATGTCGCTGTCGTATGTCGGAGTGCAGCCGATGGGCCAATCAGAGGATTTGTTTTTCGAGACGAGTTCTTCTTATTGGACCATCGACTGCGTTCCGACAGCGACATACGACGTATTGTAGAACCGGCCTTAGGCCTGTTCTACAATGCGTCGTATGTCGGCGTCGTTTATCGTTTGTCGTACATTGAATGGCGGATCTGAATACGACTTGCCGTTCTACAATTGAGTCGTAAGTCGCTGCAACAAGAAATTACAATTACAAAAATGGAAAGTAGAATATTGCTGAATTATTTGAATCTGTTATTAGTTTTGTTACATATTACAAAAATTAGATTACGTTTAAGAAATAGACGTAAAATAACAAGAAGGTAGTAGATAAAACCACATATTTCAAGAAATATAAGAAACAATTTTGGTGCTTATCGAACATTATTTACATGTTTTTGAATGAATGATCATGAGAAGTTTTTTAAACTTACAAGGATGTCCGTGCAACAATTTGATCACTTACATGATCTTTTAAAATTAAAGTTAAAAAAAGAAGTAACAGAGAATCTTTGCCAACGGAGATACGTATTGCAATGACTTTGAGGTTAGTTTAATAATTATATTCTGTTGCAAATATTGATATATTTTATTTATATTTTATTATATAAAAATAAAATTTTATCATAAATTAAAATTTATGTTTAGCTTTCTTACTCATGGAGACAGTGTATTGACCATTTCACATTTTCGGATAGGAAGATTGACTATGTATAATATTATTCCTGAAGTGTGTAATGCAATATGGGAAGTATTACAAAAAACATATCTTCGATGTCCACAAGAAGAGAATGAATGGCTAAAAATAGCAGATGACTTTAATAATATGTGGGATTTCTCAAATTGTACCGGGCAATTGATGGGAAGCTATTTTCAAAGTTTCGGAAATGTTTTTCCGCACATCCTTTTTTTCCTAATATTTTTGAAATCTACATTACATTTATCATATAAACAATAATTTTCGTGCACAAAATCAATAATTATTTCATCTAGATTTGTATATTCCATGATGAAAATAAGAGGTTATATTGTATATAATAGTCGTACAATCGGAAGTCGGATGTCGGAAAAGATGAGAGTTGACTAACTTTCGTTACGATAACGACAACCAACAGCTTTATGCGAAAGCCGAGAACCGAGTGCACATACGTCCGACATCCGACGCCGACATTGTAGAACAGGCCTTAGGCCTGGAACACAATACGTCGTATGTCAGATGTCGGAACGCAGCCGATGGTCCAATGAGGAAAACTCATTCTCGAAAAATAAATTCTCTCATTGGACCATCGGCTGCGTTCTGACATACGGCGTATTGTGTCCCAGGCCTTCGACCCGATAACTTCCGGTGTGTATCTTTCCGCGGTGCCGCGACAGACGATGGCCGTGGAATTCGCGAGTTTCATTCACCGAAGAGGAAGATTGTCACGTTCATCACGGAGTCAAAGGGAAGACTTCACCTGTCTGCACGCCGCCGCCACTGCCGAACTTTTGCAACTTTTCTCGGAAGTGAAACGTATTTCTTCCGGCCCGATTTTCGCATTAATTGTGCATTTTGCGCAAACGGCATCTTTTCCTGTCGCGTGCCCTTCTTACATTTCGGATACTTGCGCAAGACCTTCACCGCGTCGTTACTGTCGCGGTTATCGATTCGTTTAGCATACGCAGCTCTATCTCGACAGTTTCGCCGAAGTTTTCGATCTAAAAATAAGCTGATCCGAGTTCCGTGGGCTTCCTGAAAATTACTTCAGGCCAATTAACATCACTAGAAGTTATTTTATCGATTTGTAGTCTCTCCTTTCGACTTTTCGCTCAAACGTTAGTCTGAACGAAATAGCGTAATTTCTTCACGAAGTTTCTTTCTGCTTTCCCCCTTTTCTCAATGTAGACGTCGCATGATTATTACTATAATTACAGGTTGCTGTATAATTATAGATAATTGGTTTCACGGCGGAGATTTTACAGGTATACAGTGTTTTTTTTTCATCAAACCGATACAGATCGTCCCCCTTGGTTCCCCTTTATTTCATTACTCCCGGGAAGCGTGCGCAAAGATGTAATATTACTAATGGGCTAATTAATAACGAGATATAAATAGAGAACCCGCACGGTAATTGGAGTGCATCCGGTGCATTAATGCTTATTAGAGATGTATGAATTAAAATTCACGCGATCGCGACGTTTCATCTCGCGTCGATTCGTTGCGCGAGACGGGCCAAGCCGGCGCAGACAATGTCCGTTGCGTTGCGACGGACTCCATACGGAAACTTGTTTTTCGCGCTGCGCCATTTGCATTTTAATTCCGCAATAATTATTCGCGGTAACCTATAGCTTACCGGCGTTACAGCTCCGCGTTGAATTTAAAGAGGAAGCGGAAGAGAGGTCGGCGACGAGACGTTTCCGTGCGCGCCCGCGGACCGGGACACAACGGTGCACGTCAAAAATTAATCTCAACCGAGCTTTGTTGCAGCCCGCTCTCGCGGGCTGAATACGGAACGGTGCTTTTTGCAAATATGCTAATCGCTAAAACTTCGTGGAACTAGCGGAGACAAAGAGAAGGAGGATTAAGAGAAACACGCGGCCCTCACTTTTCCATACGTACGCCCGCGGCGAAAAGACGGCGGAAGTACTGCGCGAAGAAAGTCGTTTGGAAAGCACATCAGATGTTATCGTATCCGAGACACCATTGAGAACCGTGAAACGTCGACAAATTCTCATCTTCTTTCCGATACCTGCTACATTGAGAGAGATGAAGTATCTGAGAAATATTTATTCGGTGGATATTACAATATGTATAATAACGTATTTACTTAAATCTAAATTCGTTTACTTAAGTAGGAGGAGCAATAACCTTTTTTGTGAGAAGCTGAGCTTTTAAGAAAATACATATTTTCTTATTTGAAAGATATTTGATATTAGTGTCGAGTAAATATGTCATTGGTACCTCCAAATAAAAATGTTTATTTCTTGGATATTTTCTCTCTTAGTGTAATTTTGTAGGTTCCTAAAGGTTTAAACTCGAAACTAGCGTGTGGTTTTTTTCTATCATTAAATCTGGGAATTAGAACTTCCTTACGACAATCACTTCATTATTTCTCACTCGATCTTTTGTGTCTCCCTCTCAATAAATTTTCCTAGTTAGATTGGGCTGAAAATTAAGAAAGTGAGAAAGACTATGTGTGTGTGTGTGTGTGAGTGTAATTATGTTATAATAATTAAGTTGAGTAAAGTTTTAAAATTCACCCGATTATATATACATTACATGAATATATGTACTTTGCGCAGGTAGAAGACATTACGGGTCACATTAAATGAAAGCAGGAAAGAACTTTGCATATGGCGATTGTCTGTTTACTTTGCTTTCTTATCTGCCCTTCGCAGCTGTCTCTCCATTTTCACAGACGCTTTAATATAAAATGATATCAAGCTGTAATGTGCACTCGGTCGGGCTTCATAATGCCTTCTTCGTCAAAATAATCCTGTTAAACGCATTAAAGGCGCTCTTTACAAAAACAATTTTAGCTACAACAGTGCATAATTTTTTATTAGCTTATTGTAAACTTATCATTGTCCCTATAAATAGATGTAATACCGCCTCTATCGTTACTTTTTTATCGCGTTCCATCTTGATAAAATTAGTAATTTATCAAAGTGCTTTTTACTAATAATCGCGAAGAGTGCAACAGATGATGAGCTTTTATCAATAATAGCAGAGAGATAGACTGTCAGATAAATAAATGAAGAAACGGGAGGAAAAGGAAAGAAGAAAGCTGGTTCTTTTGTATAAATATTTTTAATGTATATGAAAATTTCCGGATATCTCTCCTTACTTCAAAATAATTCAGACTGACTTCCGTTACCTTTTGAATAAACGCCACCAGACCCGCGCTTGGAAACTTCGTCTCTCAAAACATTTGCTTTACGAGAGTAATAATTCGCATTTCGCTCTCTAAATGGTCAGGCGAAACGGAGATTAAAGAGATTGTCAAAAACGCTTGACAAATGTCGACGAGATGTATCAAGCACATGCCAGCGATGTAAAAGCGCCTTTGCTACTTTTCAGAAATGTTTCGTGCCGTACGAAACGACGCTATCGGAAAGATGAAGAAAAGAAGGAAGGAAAGAAGAAATGAAGGGAGAAAGTACGGAAGAAAGGACGAAGGGAAGAAAGGAAGAAAGGAAGAAAGGAAGGAAGGAAGGAAGGAAGGAAGGAAGGAAGGAAAAAAGAAAATAAGAGCGCTTTGTCGACTGTAAATTGAACCGCCGTCGTTTTTCCTTCCGATCTTCTTTTACCGCTCCTTTTAATCAAGCGCTTTTCCTGTTTTTAAGTCGACAAACTCCTTCTTACTCCTCGTAATTAATGCATTAAAGAGCGACCAAACCATGCATTTATTTAACATGCGCGCATGCGTTAAACAAGTGGAAAAAATTACTCTGATTATAAAAATTTTCCCAGTTAAATACTTGATGCATATCTGCCCGCGATATTGCCATTAAGTGCTCGAAAAATTTGTCTGGATCACTTAACCAACCGAGCGCTTTTCGCGCGAGAGCTCAACGAACCTTAATTAAATGTGCATCGATAATTCGATATTTGACCGCTGCTTGCTATTCGACGTTGGTTTTGTCCTCCGATTTCGAAAAAGAACAAAACGTCCGAACCTGCGAGAAGACGAAGCATCTCTCTTGTCCGTCTCGGAAACTATCGACATCTCGATGAAAGATCCAATTTCTTTGGAGACTTCAAAGTGTTGCCAAATTGAACTCTTAAAGGCACAGAGAGCCTCACTTCCGAGTGCCTTCAACGTGTCGGATACTACAGCACTTATAAAATCTTTCACACCATACCACAACAATTCGCTTTTGTAATAGTATCACCTTAATAAGAATCTATCAGCTCGAGGATCTCTTTGCTTGAGTGCTGGATATCTCTATAATATCTTAAATTAATGTGAGAGAGTTGCCAAAATCGTACCGATCTCGATGCCTAAATCGTATTTGATCGCATTTCATTAATCGTATTTGATTTTTTCAATGTTTGTAACACACACAAAATACGATATGGTCTGAAATTTTTTATTTACATTTCTCATGGCTCGTTTATTTCACATTTTTATCGTTAGACGTCTTTCATATGCAATAATAATAAAGAAATTGATAAAGTACGATTTAGGAAACTGCTACAATTTCAGCAACTCTCCCTTGACAATAATAATGATGAGTTAAATTGCTTTGTGCAAGCAAAGCAACATGCTGTCGAAAAAAATATCATGCGGACAAGACATTTAATTCCGCTAAAATTGGGCGACATTTACTTCCGGTAAAATTGATTAAAGTTTGCAGAACAATAGCGGCGACTCTCGCCGATTTGCATCGACGGAAGGCTCTTCACACACACACACACACACACACACACACACACACACACACACACACACACACATATCCAGAGAATGAAGAATAGAAAAATCTATCTATGTAGAGCAGGGGAAGGAAAATCAGGGTGGCTGGCACCATCGCAAATTCAATTATGTTCGTGAGATATGACGGCCGACGTAATCACGGTGGATATTGCGACCCGCGCAATCTAACCGGGCGCGATTGTTGCGCCCGAGTTTTCCACGCGCGAAATACGGATCACAATTGCCCTCGTATCGTGCCGAATAGGGTTTGCTGGACCCCAGCGGTCCCGTCTTCCTTCGTAAGGAAAAGTAATTTTGTCGGGTTCGGCATGTTTCCCAAACGCGTACGCGGTTGTTTACTTATGCGAAAGAAAGGCAGGCCCGTCGTCGCTCAACGAAGGTATTAACAGCGTGATGACTTGCCTGTACAGTAAAACAAACTTCAGTAGGACACCTCCAAGGACAAATCTCGCACGGAGAACTACCATGGTTGTTACACCCACATTCTCTATGGTTAGAGACGAATTTATATGACTTCAAGCTAAGATATTGTATTCAGAGAATTACTGTTGTCGCGTATGTCTATCCATATAATTCTCACAGCCACAGTTCTTATGATACATAATGGTTATGATACATAATGGTTATACGTTTAGTTAGTATATCATCATATATACTTACCTCAGTCGAGAGAACTTGTGATCTGTGGAACAAATGCTACACTCAAAAAAATGTTTCGCTGGTCCAGGGAGAATCCTAAATGTCACAGTTAAAATTTATCATTACTTTTTGTATCCGTTAGAAAATTGTCTGTGGTGTGTAGAATTTGCAGTAGCAGTAATATTTGTAATCTTATTTTGATGAATGTGAAAACTACTCATTCGTTTGTCTCTCGTCGTTAATCTTTTTTGTCTGCCACAATCACTTTTGCAAGAAGTGGCTTTAATTCGGGTGGACGCCACATAGAGAGACTTTCTTGATAAATTTTACAAATAGTTTTGTTAAATTATTAAATTTTACAAACAATAGTATTTTCTTCGTGCGTTCGTTTAATTTACGGAAACTTCGCCGTGCGTATCGCGCGTTTCACGAAATCGAATCGCGACATTATTGCATCCAAAAAACTCCGTCTAATGGACGCCGTTCGAGCGTACGCACGGCCCGTGAAACCAGAATCTGCCCGTGAGCACTCGTGGCCTGGGGAAAAATTATTGGACCGCTTTTCCAGACCATCGGACCAGCAGAAAACTGGAACTTTCACGTACATACGTACTTGGCTTCACACGTATACACACGTGTGTGCACGATGAATGGATCAAGGAAGCGCGAGATGTTCTGAAAGAATATGCGCGCCGCGCGCGCATTCTGCTTGTGAGAGATCTCGAGATGGATTTCCCCGCGGCGGATTCGATTAATTTTTTCCAACTCGTCGACTTTTGACGAGAGAGACGTGTACGTTACATTCGTTCGCGGCTGAAATCGAGCGGTCCGACGACAACCAAAGTGTTCTTCGATTTTTGCGGATCGTCAGTTATTTTCTGCAGTTTGTCCCCGACTTCTTTTCCCTCAAATATAATTAAACTTCTTTCTGTATTCTCGTACGAACATATCGACGAAAAATCGACACTATAGTCTGTCTTACTTTCTCAGCGAACAAACTTTTGTTCTTCATTATTATATACACTTTACTATTATAGACCAAACTTGTTTGCATGTTATTTATAGAACAAGGTACACCTCTAACATGTACCTTTTCTTGCATCGATATATCAAAAGGATACGTGTGCGCGCACGCAAATCGTTCATACATATACGCGTCTCTTCGTAGATATGAAAGATAAATGAGTGTTTATCCTTAGGAAAATATAGTTCTTGTTTTCCATAAAAGTTCCTTCACTTCGTCCATCGACGTCCCGAAGAATCATGAATCTTGCATCGAGATAGACGCGTCTAACAGTACGTAGAAAATTATGCGGCTATACAGTCGTGTACACTCAATCCTGCTTCAGTTTTCAACCAGTTACATCCGCATCTAGCTATGCACTTCTCATGACTATTGATTAATCCGAAAATTCTTCAGAATTAATTAATATTAATTAATTCTAGACATTCTTATTATTTTAGTCTTTAAGTACGAATGTTTAAATTTTTTATACAGAATATATATATTTGATGTTAAAGGTTTGAATATTTATATTTTAAGGCTAAAACAATAAGAATGTCCAGTATTAAGGGGGATGCCGGAGTCGATGACGAACTCGAACAATGTCGATAATGCAGAGACGATCGTCACTAACATAATCACGCTATCCTTTTCGTATTTCTTGTATATACAGAACTTGCATGAATGTGTGTTGCTTTGTTTTATTATATTCAACGGAAAACCTAACCATATATGTGTAGAAATCTTTCTACAAATTTTTTCAATATTCTTAAGCTTCCAAATGCAAATGCAAAAGTAGAGCAACGTTCTTCAAAATTTTTCTGCTTGGAGCATCCACACTTTCGGTATGTACAAGCTGCGGAATTTTTGGATTAGGCAAATATTACGCTAACTGACAGCTTGAGATTTTACATTAAAATTTTTTTGTTCGTTTTCGTCACATATCGAACAATGCTCCTATTTATTTTTGCACGTACTTTCATTGCGTAAAAGCATTTGTAATTCTGTGTAACCAATACGACGTAAACTTTGCAAAAAAATGTCAGTGTTCTGTCGGTAAAGTTTTCAGCTTCAGCATCTCCTTAAGGGGATGCCGGACATAAAAACTTTACCGACATAATATTGACTTCTTTTTGCAAAGTTTACGTCTTGTTGTTTGCACAGAATTACAAACGCTTTTACACAACAAAAGTACATGCAAAATTAAATTGGAGCATTGCTCAATATATGACGAAAACGAAAAAAATATGTTCAAATTTAAATTTTGAGCTGTCAGTTAATGCGATATTTGTTTAATACAAACATTCTGCAGGTTGTACATATCAAAACTGTGGATGCTCCAATCAGAAAAATTTTAAAGATCACTACTACACTTTCAGAATTTAGTTTTGATGTCAAAAAAGAACGAAAAGTTTGTAATTACATGCGGTTAGATTTTCTGACAACTATGATAAAGTAGAGCGAAAAATTTATGGATATTTTTCAAAGAAAAGTTCACTGATATTTGTCAAGATGGCACCATACTTTTCACAACGTCCGAATATTCAGAGTGTATATATACATACATACATACATACATATATATATATATATATATATATACTCAGAGCCCACGCAACTGTTTATCGAAACAACGATAATAACTGAACAAAAACGAAGAAACCGTAAATAAATCGTCGTAACGGCACGCCCGAGTTACTTTCCTATGCGTAATAGCAATAATTAAATAATAATCGAATAAATTAAATAATAACCGAATAGAGAAGTAATAATATTCAAATATTAAATGTTAATGATAATAATATCTGTTCGATAATCGTGTGATAATATCCGCGAGTGTATAATAACGGAATAACGATGATCGAATAATCGGTAATAACATTGAATAACAATAACTAAACAACGGCGATAATAACTGACAAGGTAATAATAAAAGACGAGGTAAAGAAATTGTCATAACGGCCTGAATTGCTTTCCTATGCGTAATAGCAATAATTAAATAATAACTGAATAAATTAAATAATAATCGAATAAAGAAGTAATAATACTCGAATATTAAATGGTAGTGATAATATCTGTTCGACAATCGTGTGATAATATCCGCGAGTGGATAATAACGAAATAATGATCGAATAATAGGTAATAACAATATTTAGGCAGCGGCTCTAAACAAAAACTCTAAACTCCACAAAGGTTAGGCAAATAGGCCCTCGTAACGGCCCGCTTGTGCCGCTGACTGAGCGACGCTTGAGGGAGCGCGCGATCGGGTCATGTAAACACGCGTGCGCGAGCACGTGCGGGAGCACGTGCTCGAGCATCACGCCACAACACTCTCAACCGTCGAGAGGAACACATCGGAAGCTACCGCGTTATTTCTTAGATTATTCCGTGCCGAAATGCATTAGGAATATTCCGTGTTGTACGTGAGAATGTCGCACAGATTACTTCGCCCACGCGTCAAAAGATTTCGCGAGATCGGCCTTCGCGTCGCGTGTTCCCTTCGCTCGCGGATTCCGTTTTCGTGTCGCGCGTGTATCAAAGCGATACACTACAACTCGATCGGACCGTTGCTGAATTCGTCGCACATACTCGTCGTTTATCCGAAAGACCGACATTTCCTCGAAGACGTAGTTCGCGATATTTCATACACAATTCGCAACTCGGGGTTAATATCCCCCAAGAGAGACGGGATTTTTCGTGAAACCTCCGTTAGATTACTGCGGTCGGGAGTGAGTTGCAGGCGATGTGGGACGCGAGGACCATTGCAGTGTCAGATGCAGCGACAGGATGGTTGGTGGATCCTGGACACCGTGGGACGACGCGCAATGGTGAGTGCTCAATTTAGACGCTCATATAGTAGACACAAAACGTCACTTTACGTAGATTGCATGCACGTAAACGTAAATCGTATTGGATTCGACGAGAAGTAAAGTAAGAATTGGAATTTGCAATTCGCCGGAGTTATGTAAGAATGATCGAACCAAAGAATTCAGCTCTGAGATTCTCGCAACAGTACAACGAGTTAAGCATTTCCATTTCTTTAAGAGTACTAACTAGCTTAATCCTTAGAAAAATGTGCAAAAAGACAACTGGTAAAAAAAAACTGTTTCTTAATTCATTTCAAGCATCTACAAGGCTTGAATTTTTTTGTTTAGTTTAAAAAGATGTGAATGGAGTATCTATTGATAAAATCTTATAATTTTTTTAATTGAATCGTTCTTGCATAACAATGGCCAATTGAAATTTCGACTCAGCAGGCTTCGTTCTCGTCGGATTGTTTCATGATGATACATTAAACTGATATATTTCAACATGTCGTATTTATATGCTCTGTATATGTTATATATGCTTTCTTTATGCTCTATATATGTTTTATATATACCCTATGTATATTCTATATATACTATTTGATTAATATAATTTATAACTCGTTATGTCGCATTATATACAACATAATATCTCTTCGGAGATATTCTCTTATGCACGCGTTTTTTGTTGACAAGACGACAAGTTAAATTATTAAATTAAATTATTAAGCCGAGACTCTAACCGAAATGTTTTGATTTCCTGCTAAATTATTAAGCCAAGATTTAAATCCGAGTGTTTTGAGATTCCGTTAAACCATTCAGACAAGTTTCGAACCAATGTGTTTTGCTAAATTACTAAAGAGGCTCTGCTAAATTACTAAGTCGAGATTCAACCGAAGAATTTTGTGTTTCCGCTAAATTATTAAGCTGGGATTTAAATAGATGTGTTTTGTGTTTCCGCTAAATTATTAATTTCGCCGAGACTCGAATCAAAGTGTTTTGAGTCTTCGCTAATTTATTAAGCCGAATTAGTTAAGCCTGTAATAGGCCTGTAAGTAATTTTTTAAAGTTTCTTAAAGAAATTTTTGCGTTTGCAAGGTAATTTTCGGAAATTACGTGAAGTGTGCATATTTCGCTCTGCATCGTTTCTTGGATGACAATATGCTTTAATGTCACTCCACTCCTTCAGTAGTAAGCCCAGAAACTTGAAAATAATTTCTCAATATCCCAAAGTCGCGCCCATGACGTTAGATCCATCGTAGCAGTATATTCAAATTTTCGCACATGCGCAGTGATTCTGTCGTGGACCGAAAGTCGATCATGTTACTACAGGTTAGGTCATGTAGCGTCAGCATGTAGAGCACATTCTGGGAAAAAACGATTTAGAACTATTGCTATCGTGATACTGATTTAATTTTTCAAAAATTACAGTGTACTGACTGCTTCAATTTATATGATAAAATTACGTGCGAAAATAAAATGTAACATTGGTCAGTGCGAAATTAAAATAATATCTCAAATTACTGTTGCTAATTATATCGAAAATTCTAATAATAGGTAACGTATTTTTCAAAAAATTATTCGTAAACTACGCTTGCTCCTACAACACTTCTCTAAAAACTCTTTCTTTGATGCGCCCTGTACGCAAGCGGTTTGAAGAATTCATGAGAAAAGTAGCAAGAGCCTATTTTGGAGAGAATGCGAATATCGGCAATGTGGCATTCACATTTACGTAACGTCTATGTGTAAGAAAATTGAAATGACAACATAGCACACATACTTGCACATTCACGTATCTATATCATAGCGGCATTATGTCAGCTCCTATTTAACGATCGTCTTTACTTGATATCTTTGTATATCTATATATACATGAAATCAGTATCGTCGGTAAATGATAATGTTTTCTACTTTTTGATGATCGCTTCTACGTTACCAACGCTTAACGAGTTTGTCGTCCACTCCAGTAGCCCTATTCTGTAACTCGTTATTGGAGTTAACGATAACGAAACTCTAATTAACTGTCGTTAACTCCAATAACGAGTTACAGAATCCCAGCACAGCATCCCCTTAAGTAATGGTGCGTATTCGGGCATTAGTATTTTTACCTTACTGTTCGTCAATTGTTCGACATCCGCTTTAACTTTCGACAACAGATTCCTTTGGGAAATATTCTCACAGCGTAACAGATGTCGACCGCTCGCGATTGAATCGCTTGCGAATGAAGTAATTCCGTCGTGTCGATATATGCTTTCGCGAAACGTCGGGACGTACCTGCTGCGACGTCTGTTCGCAAGCCCGATGGCCCGACAGCGAGGGTTTGTAGAGAGCCCCCTGTTGATTTAAAGAATGGATCGAAAAGACGCTTCCGTCGGAATTGTCTCCGACAAGCGCGCGCAGCTCTTTCGCGGGCTACCGGCTGCGGCTTTCAGCGAAATTGCATTCTGCATACATTTCGCGTGTAGACGCGAGGCCGTGAGGAGATAACTCGGACGTTGTGCTTAGCGATCCATTAGAGATCGTCGTGGGTGGTCTTGCCTGACGCGACGCTCGCCCTTGTGTGCGAATAAACACGCACGGATCTTTAGCCGACGCACGCTGGCCCGATATGCGAAAAAGCTCTCTCACGAATCATCGACGATAGATTT